AGGAAGGACCGCGCCTATGCTTTCGAGGTTTCGGATTGGCTCGTGGAGCCGGCAGCCAGGACTGAGGCGGGGCCGTACTGACTCCGACGGAAGGGCTGGGATGGCTGCAGGTACCCAAGTCGGCTGCGTGCATCATTGCCCCACCACCACAACCACACTGACATGCAGTGAAGCTGGCAGAGCCCAGTCGCGACTTGGGTGGGCGGTAACACTTCGCGGCTGGAGCATGCTTTCAGAAGTGAGAATTTCAGGACGAACCCACTGACATTTGCCTCAATCTTTCAGACTAAACTAGCAACCTGTTAAAGTACACGCAAGCATGAGGGCCCGACGCTGTGCGACGCGGAAAAGCTCTGGTGCCGTGGTGTGTCTGTGGGCGAAGTTGTCGACACAGTGCAAAACGCCACCTTCGTTCAGGACTCGAACCCTCCATGAGAAACCTTCCAACAGTACCATGCATAGCGACACAGAGCTTCAACCGAGCTGCCTTCCAAATCCGCAAGTTCTTCAGCCCCTCCTGCGGTACTCTGCAGCACGGCCGGTGGCCGGTGTACGCTCAGGGCTCAGCACTGAGCAGAAATTGGATCCAAGTTGCCGACGAGCCAGCTTTCGGGGGCAGGCCCGGAAGTCTTTGGCGAAGTTCGCCAGGACTCCCAGAACTGCATCTCGCGCCAATTGTCCTCTCCGTGGTAAGAGTTCTTTCGGGGGATGAACGAGTACTGCAGATATGGTCTCCTCCAAAGCCTGCAGCAAGAAGGCCGACGTGTAGCCTGCAGTTTGCTTACTGGTAGCAGCTGCTTGTGCTTTCGGGTCTTTGACATGTTCGTGCCTACAGACAATCCAGGCGACCGGTACGAAAGCACATCCAGTTGATGCCGAGGTGTAGCACCCACCACCCAACTAACAAGTGGAAGTCAGTTCTCTGCAAAATCTCGAGTCTGCAAGCATGCACAAGAGGGGGAGAGAGAGCGCCGATTGACGTGAGAGCCAGAGCGACTGAAGAAAGCCATGACACGGTAAGGGCATTGTCGCAAAGATATTCCGAAAGGAGTGACAGTGTTCGAGTCCACTCTGCCTGCTCCAATTTCCAGACAACTTCGCGGCTTGACGAAGCGTGCCAGACTGTGAAGAAGAGGCCCCATGTTCTCGCAGCCTCAAGGCGACCATGAATTGTGAAGCAGTGCTTGTTGAAATCCGTGCCGTGGCACTAAGGGCCGCGCCCATATGCATGGAGTACAGGGGCATCACAGCTTCTTGCCATTCAGCATTCCCGGTGCCTGAAAGTATCACTTCAGCCGCGGCATCCTCAGACTCATGTGCTTCTCGCATGCAAAAACTACATCACCAAATTTGCGATGGAATTTTCATGCAGCGGCAATCCGAAAAAGGGCAACATGCCGTCCAGGACAAGAGGATGTGCTGAAAAGCAGTGAGAAAACGAAGCCAAGGCGCAACAATTGGATGTGCCAAAAGACACGCAAAGAGCCAATCCCCGAGGATGCTCGGTTGCGTAACCCGCATCGCAGTAGTGAGACTCACTGATGTCTAACTAAGGAGTCGAACCACCTCATAACCATAAACGTGTTGGCAGGAAGCGTTCTCGTTCATCTGAGCAGTCTGAGTTGTGCTTTCTGCATCTGCCTGCCGAATTTGCACAAGACAATCCCAAGGATACCAAAGAGGGGGAAAAAGCCAAGAAATGCAGGTAAAGCCTGGCCTGAAAGCAGAGCTGCATCAAGCGTTCGTCAGAGCCTCGAGGCATGCCAAGCGCCTCGACAAAGTCCTTCACAACCTGGCGGAGCACGTGCTCAACCACTCGGGTGTAGTCTAAGGCGATGCAACATGTGCACCTCCCAGCCATCGCAGCGCATATCCCCGATGGTCTTGTATCCCTCCTGCACAGCACTCCGAGAGTACCAGGTATATCACTGGCCGCTGAACACGGGCGAAGCCTCCTCGAAGGAGACGGCAAAGAAGCCCGCATCTAGGCCTCAGTGCACAGGCAAAGTCCTAGATGCGAGATGTCTGCTGTTCGCTCCGTGGTATTCCGTTGTACGCTTTCTGGAGACCTTCTGATCATGGACAAACTCTGCCCTGCAAGCGCCTCTAAGGCTCCGTCCGACTGTCTAAAGAGATGACACGCCGAAGCATTCCCGAGGATAAGGCTCTGACATCGAAGCAGGCCGCGGATTGGAGTCGGAGAAGGAAGACGCATGGCACACAGTGTCTTACATTGTGTGACATCTTCCGCCTTTTCCACGACATCTTGCTGGTCCCTTCTTGCTAACATGATAAGACCGACACATCAAACTGCATAAGTGCAAGATTCCAGCTTAAGCTTTGGCGTTGTATCGTACACCTGTCTGCAGCTGCGGGCAAAAAAGTAACCCTGCCCCAGCGGAGTCCTCATCTTTGAACTTTTTCTTGGGTCGCTTTGGCTTGACATCTTCGACATCATCCTGACAAACAGGTCTAACAAACCGTTACCTCACCAGCTCACAGGACTCCTCTTCATCCTCGCCGAAATAATCCTTCTTGTCCTGGAGATGTCTCGTCTTGGTTGGCATGCTGGTAACATGCATTCACCCGAAGTTGCTGCAAGAGAGAGAGAGAGAGAGAGAGAGAGAGAGAGAGAGAGAGAGACAGAGAGAGAATTTCTGAACGATGCCCGCAGTGTGCGTCGCAAACCCTGCTGACACACTGCACGCCTCTGGTGTCATACACTTTTCGTGCATCCACCAGGCGCCAGCCCCAAGCGAGCCAAACTCAGACTTGGTGGTCTTGATCTTTCCAATCTTGTCCTGCACCGTGCTATGGAAAAGCCTTTTTCAGGCTCTTGATCGCGGCTTTCCACAAAGGCACGATGTGCATGTCGATTGAAAACCGATTCGAAGCACAGCGGATTCAGGCGTCGGGGCAAGTACATGCAACAAGACCTTTGGGCATCTGTTTTGGGACGTAACAGGAATAGGACCAGAATGCGCAGAAACGCTGAGACCGAGACCCTGTGCTTGTTCATGCACTTCCAGCAGATCGCCTTCCCGGGTCCATGGCCCAAATGCGCGAGCAGCCTTTACTTGCACGAAGAAGGGCATGCAGAGAGCCAACAACAACACAAGCATCACAAAAAGAAGGATGCGTGAAAGTTTCCACGAGGAGCATGTCTTCACTGCGGTTTCGTTCAGCATATCGTAGCATGCCGCAAGCAGAAGGGATGCTTCTAACCCCACCCGGTGGCAGGCTGATGTTTGACTGACAGAAGGCCAATCAATCTGTTGTGAGTCATCTCTTCTCACGCACCGCAAGCCGTCTGATGCGTTGACCGCTGAATTACACCAGCGCACAACTTAGATATATGGAGGATAGCAGCAGATTGTCGAGCCGAGCTGTGCTCCGTACGGCATAAGAGCTCAACTACTACTGCGCACACGATGCGAGTTTGCAGACAAAATTAATTTGGACAGCGAACCTTCTTGCGATGCTGCATCGTGGGAGCATGTTGACTGACACGGACTCGCCCAACGACCATTGCACCCTTGGTTTTTGTATGTTTTTGCGCAGTGTTTCTTTCTGTGTTGAGGCGAGACCACTCGGCATCCCCACCCATACCGTCGCGGCGGGATTACGCCATTGTGGTGGAGGTGCTTGCCTCCAAACTCACTTGCCTCACGGATCTTCACGGTATCGATTCCGCGTGTGTCGTCCGTCTGTCACCAGAATCACTGCTGCTTGGAACACTGGGTCGTTTCTTCATCGTGCACACACACACACTCGCATCTGATGCCTCCTGGACATACGTTCTAGCTCAGATCATTGAGTCGCAAGTGTTTGCGTTCAAGGTGGAAGAACGGAGAAGATGCAAGCACAGAGGATGAGAACATGTGCAGCGCCAGTCGTGTAAGCTGGGAAAGCTGGGAGACAATGCTGAGTGAAGTTTGCAGCATCACGGAGAAGCCACGACATGGCACCGTTCAAAAGGCGAACAGGGTGCAGCATCCTCATAGATCCTCATAGTTGTGTTACACGGTGGAAAAGCCTCGAAGCAGCCCGCAAGCTCTCCGGAAGAGCGCTTGCGACCGCAGTACACGCCGCCTTTCTCGACAACAGACCTCGGTGTAGCGAAGGCATCCGAAGGCATTGTCAACCTTCTTCCAAGCTTTTCAGGGAGCCGGCTTGGAGCACAAAGAGCATGTAGCACCATCCTGAAACTCGCAACGGGCAGCGAGAGACGCGAATGCCCCTGCGATGCTGGGCTGCGCACGGGGAGCCAGCCAATCCGCTCCTTTTCTTTCGGTTTCTCCTGCTTCTCCTCTGGAGGCTCTGGAGGCCGCGGGGGCTCCGGCGCCTTTGGCTTCTCTGGAGCCCTGAGATGACGCTGACAGTCGCTGACACGAGGCAGTCGTGATACGATGACCACCGGCTCTGGCTCGGGCACTGAGTTGCAGGCTTTTCGAGGCCTTGCAGAACTTTCCAGGCCTTCATCTTGTCCTGCTTGTGCTTTCATGCGCAGACAAATGCTTGCTTGCAACAGGTGGAAAGTTCAAGAGTTCAAGACTTGTCACTGCGAGAAGACCGGCTCCTCTGGAGGCGACTCCTGTAGTTTTCGGCGGCTGAAATCCAAGAACCCATGCAGCCACAGCGCTTGATTCCCACCTGGCCACCTCGCTTGGGACTTCGGCTCCTGAGCGCTTTGCGACCCACGACCGCAACCGATCACCAAAAGAGCGGATCTGAGCGGTCTCCTGTTCTGTTCTCTCTCCTTGGCCGCCTTCGGCTCCGCTTTCGGCTGGGCCTCTGGAGCTGGAGCTGCGGGAGCTGCCTTGGGCGGGGCCTCAGAGGTGACGCCCACAGCCACAGCTTCTTCAGTCGATGTCCAGTGCAGCAATCGGGCCGAGAAGGCACGGCCCAAATTCAACGCGGCTTGCTGCAGCTCCGCCTGGTGACGACAGCAAGCACTAGCGGAAATTGCCTGTATCGGAGAGTGCTGAGCGAAGTGAAGTCGAACGATTTCTCTAACAGGGTAATGGCTGCAGCTGGGTCAGCTTCTGTGTCATGGTAGCTGCAATGGCAAAGCAAAAAGCTACGCTGCAAACTGAAAAGGCCTGCGACAGCAGGACTGGAGCAGCACGAGGTACCGGAGACAGCCCGGCTTCGGCCGCTGCTTGAACGGCCTGCTTAACATGGTGGAAACTGTGGAAACGTGGTGCTATGGAGAAACCTACGCGTTTGCCTGCTCCGCCTTGAGAGCCTTCGGCATGGCACTTCAAAATCAACATTCAGCGCCTTCCAAAACTTGACTTGCTCGCTCTGACACCTCCTCGTCTGAGGAATCCTGCAGCAGCTCTTCTGTCGCAGAGACCTTTGCAACAAGATTACAAACTTTGAAGACACTTTGTACGCCAAGCCCTCACTCAACAACAGAATTGAAGTCAGGTGCGCCTCAAACTTTCCATTGTCAGCTACCAGAACCTCTGTGACATTGGCTGCCGTGTTGTCCACTATAGACCTGCGGCGGCCATAAATGGAAACTGTGACGGCGAAGACATCTTGCACGGCTGTTGGCTAACGGCTGGGCTTCACGCTGTGCGAAGGCGTCTAGTCTAAGCTGATGCAATGGTGCCTAGCATCACGATCGCTATGGACTTGCTCATCTAGATGCTCTGCTTGTTGCAGGAACTAAGGGCCAGCGGGCTGATCACATATCGGGCAACACCTGACTGGAGTGCTGTTGGTTTTCGTGCTTGCTTCGACATACTGAAGGCGCTGGCCAGGCATGTTTGGGCGGAATGCTCCGCATTGTGTGGATGTACGAGTTCAAATCGAAGCACTGCAGATGCTCACACCTGGACAGCTTCATGTCGCACAAAGTTTCCGCACAAGCTGGGCATTGTGTCAGAAGCTCGAGGGTCTTGCCTCGAACCGCGCGCAGCTTGCTCAATTCGTAGGAGGCTAGCTGGCACGGTGTCAAGCCATGTCAAGCCATCACATCTTTAGTCCCTCCCATCTCTGGGACACTATCTGTGCCATGCACACGCCACGTCTCATTACTGCAGTGATAAAAGCCCGCATCCAAGAACTCGAAATCGCTCGAACTGGGCATCGCGCTGCAGCAGATCAACTTCAGAACGGGTGGCTCAACACAGCGCAGTGTGTCCTTCCATACGCCACTGTCGAACGTAGGAGATGGGGCCATGGGGCTGCCTCGCCTTCTTCGACACACGATCAGGACGATGCTCGCTGACCCATCTGAGCACCGCGCGCACGCGGAATCACGCACCGCGCGCACGCGGAATCACGCGGATGAGCGCAGATCTCAGGCGAACTTCCAGCTACAAGCGCCCCTGAGGCCAAAAGCATGCGAACGCGCTCGAGATCAAGCTTCATTCGGTCCTCTGCAGATTTCGGAATCTGCTAGCAATGCAATCAGGCCCAAGAGAAGACTGGGCTCTCCTCAAGTGGCGGCTGCTGTTGCACGACCTGCACAGACGAAGCTTCCGGGCTCAGGCTGAGTCGGTACATCTACTCGAAAAAGGCAGCTACAATGAGCTACAATCCACATGGATGCTGACAGCGATTTTCTACCCGGTACGCTGCTTTGCATCTCTCCGCAAGCCAGTAACGGCCTGCTCGGCGACCTCATTATCCCTGGCCACGCCCAGGCTCATCACAAAGCCTCACATGAAGCCGCTGCACTGGTACGTGTCAGTCACTTACTGGCAACAAATATACAGAGTTTCACAGCGAAGTTTTGGAATTGCGCATGGTTCCCTAGGCCGACGTGGGCATTATTGGTAACGTTGTCGAGTTGGAGGTACGGCATGTGACGGGAATGAGAATGTTGGTCAATGAGAGGTCCTACCTCCAAGCTTCGTGCTTACGGGCATTCTCCGACGGAGATTCCCAAAGATCTTTTGGTGGGGCTCAGCATTGAGCGCGTGCCAGTACTTCCAGACACCAAGAAGACGGAAGCCAAGCCTTCATGAAGCAACTAATAGAGTGTAAAAGAGTCTAATGTTTGCTCATCTGCGCAGGCTGCGAAATCATAGGCACTCTCTGGCTTGGAGCACTGGTGTTTCCGCTGTCTGTGGCTTACAGCTTTGACAGGAACACCGAGACTGCCGAGATAGAGCAATTGTTGTCAGAGAACCTCATTGCTGAACAATGGTGCTTGACGGTGCGAAATGTTCGGATTAATTACAAGTTCTTACAAACTCAACCGACGAGACATCGTCGTCAAGGGCTCCATGGCTAAATGAAAGATGCTCGGTGCACATGCTTTGCCAACAGACCGACAACCGAGCACCCTCGGAGTAAATATGATGCGTCGCAGAGGTCCAACATGCAAGAAGACCTAGACAGAGACAGAAATCTGAGACTCAGCTTCCCGATTCCCCGTGCGGGCAGCTGCCTATGGCCCAGATTTCGGTCTTCTTGGCCGTTATAGCAACATTCACCTGTTTGCCAGCAGTGCACTCAGTTCTCGAGGATAGAGTGCACTTACATCTATACCTTGAACATGTTGGCATGGATGCACAAAACACATGTCAGCTGCCTGCATTGGATGGTTGACCTGCAAACAATTCTCAGAGCGTCACGGCTAGTGTCCCTCTCTCATGCCGTCGATCCTCAATCTAGCTGTTGGGTGTACTGTTGTGGTGCTTCACAAAATGCATTTGCTAGGCAACGAGCCTCATTCGGACGCCGAGCAACGAAGTCTGTAAGGTTGAATGGTCCTGGGGCCTGGAAAAGAAAATCGTATCGCCACAGATCTCGCGAATCTCGCGCAGATGACAGCAGCCTCGAAATGCTCATCGTCCGGCTTCTTCACAAGAACTCTGCGATCGCCGACGAACATCGAGATTCCACTGGGCCTCAAGTGGGACAGCGAAGCGGTGCTGACATGCATCCTGGAAGGTAGAGATGGCTAATCACGCCCTAAACCCTAAACTCTCTGTTCACAGCAGCTGTTTTGAAAGGAGCTACTTACAGGTCCGCAGACGCCGGGAAGTGAGCCGAAAGACACCGAAACGGGACACGCACACCGACCATCCCCAGCCTTGCCAAGATTTCAAGTCTTGGGAGAACTCATTTTAACACCACTCTCATCTTTTCGTTTCTGCTCATGGGATGGTGGCCGCATAACGCAAGGATCCTCCTGGTCAGCCTCACCTCTGCATTACCACAATGCTGCAGGCAGACCTGTCTGAAGACGCAAGGATGGTTAAGCTTAGGAAGCCCGAACATGCGACCCGGGTGTAGAGGGGAAAATGCAAGCAGACGTGGGCAAGACATGCAAAACATCCAAGTCTGTACATTTGGGAAAGTGAGAAGAGGACAACCACTGCAAACCTAAACAGTAACAGCCTTCAATAACCAGCCATGGACAAACAGGGAAAATGAAGAACCAAAACACAAAAAGGACACCGTTGGGGCCGGGGGAAAACAGCGAACATTTAAGGCCACAAAAATTAACATGGTTGAAATGGGGACAACCGCCGCCAGCGACGGGCCATGTTCCAACAGATGTTAATTTGGTTGCTAGTTCCTGCTCCGTTTGTTGCATGTAGCATTGCTGGTTTTGTCGTTCGACATGCTGTTTAGCCCCAAACCTCCCCATGAGGAACTTTATTCAAGTTCCATAATAGGGACATGCAGTACAGGAATCAGCTTTCCTTGTCATCGTAATTAGCTTTCTTGAGCAATCGTCGGCCTAGTGGAAGCTTAACAGCTTGGGTTGCATTTAACAGGGTGTTGGCAAGATTACTGAAGGCGTCGTGTAAAACATACCTCGAGCGCTTCAGAGCCAAACTGTACCCAACGGATGCGGGCTGGTTGTGGCCGTGAGATTTGCGGGCGGGAGTTGCCCCCGTTTCTACCAAGGAAGGGGCCAGCTGTGCACCAGCTCGTAGCGCCACTCCGGTGCATCGACTCTTAAGCATCGCACCTGCTACAGGGTAATGTTGCGAGGCAAGTGCTATTTCTAAAACAGCCAGTCACTCAAAGCCTCCAGGACATACCCAGGCAGTAGTCTGCCTGTCCTGCAGCAACATGGTGGCAAAAGTCCACTTGACTCTCCCGAACCTGGCCCGACCTGTATTCTAAGAAGCCCATGATAGGTAGCTTGATGATATTTGGACCAGCCTGAAGCAGAATTGACCCAGAGGCAAGTTCACTGGCAAGAAGTTCACTGGCAAGTGGACATTGCCTTCAAAGTGCTCCAGTGGAGGAGCTTCTTCGTGGGGAGCCATGGATTACAGCCTTTGAACCTCACGAGAGCAGACAGGGGCCCATGCCGTCCCGACTCTCACCTGCCCTCGCCTGCAGGGTACGCAAAGGCCCGAGGAGCTTGATGACGAGTCCGAGTTGTACAAGGGCATCTTGCAGCCTCGACAAATTCGGAACTCCGGGGCCCTGCGGCCCCTGGCGACCATATCCAGTGCCTTCACACTCGCTGCCAGGTGGCGGTGGCGCCTCAAAAGCAAATTGCGGTAAATTGCACAGTGTCCAGCATGTGGGGTCACAACCTCCGGTGGTGGTGGTGCAGTGTCCGGCTCCGGTGGAGGGGCCGGAATCTCATCGGGCGGCGCCGCTGGAGTCTCCCTGGCAACTGAAGCTTCGACCACGTGGCACAATCGCGATCACGGCGGCTCAGAGACAGTCTCGCTCATCCAAACCAAGCTTACAAAAGTCTTGGCAGAAGTGCTCGGGCGGAGGTGGATGCTCAGGCGGAGGTGGGTCTGCTGCTGCAGCCTGTGCGATATGAGCATATGACTTCTCACAAACATCTGTGCCTCAGTGCTATACAATGCACATAGCATCAACAGCTATGGAAAGCATGACAAAGCTCCCACTTTTGTGAACCAACTGTGCAATTTAGGCAGACAGTGGCATGTTGTTGCCGATAAGTGTTTCGCCGTTGCCTGCTCTTGAAACCATGCCAGGCTGTTGCTGGAAGTGGCAGGGCGTGGTTTGGCATTACTAAATTCTCGCAACACGGCATTGTACAAGCACGAACACAAGCGGTTTGCCTGGTTCGGAAGCCCTTCGGGACTTCACATGCAAAAGCGCTACTGAGGATTGGGACAAGGATCTGGAATGCACAGACTAGAGCTGCACCTGTACAGGCGTTCAGTGACGGAGTGATACACTGTGCAGACACCTAAGGCCGCGTCTGACCACTTCCTAAGAGTAATCCTGCCACTGTACGTCGCAAAAACCTTTGCGCGCCTTCTGACCAGTAATGCGCCGAAGCACAGAAACGTCAGTGGTGCTGTACTCGCACTTCTCACACTTGCCGCAGCTTGCGTGAGCCGCTGAAGCTCTCTCGGACCTCTCCCAAACCGTGCTGTGCACGCCCGAGCAGGACTGGATTTTCGGTTGCCCCTAGTTGGGAGCAACGACGACAGTGGCTGGAGCGCAGCTGAATAAACGAGCTGAGAAGAAGGGTTGCAAGCGCAAGAAAGTCAGCTGGCACATAGCGATCAGGTGAGGCCTGGGCCATGCCCAAGCTTCGTGCCATAACAGCAGCCAGAGGCAAAATTCCCGCATCAAGGGATGCAGCAGTCACCGTGTCAGAGTGGCGAAGCACAGCCAGCCTCGACAGCGTCTCCACTGCTCCAAGCCCAAGTGCTGCAACGGCAACCACGCTGAAGTCAAGCTGAACAGCGGAAACAGCATGGAATGAGTTGGCGTCCCAATCGATCGACTTCAAGGGCAACTGGCCCAAGGTTAGAGGCAGCACAAGCATAGATCCAAAGAACCCGCTAAAACCACCTACAAAGAAGAGACCACCCCAAGAATTATCCACTCCCACTCGCCGCAACAGAAAGGCACCACCGGCACATCGCAAGGCTCTGCAAACCGTTGCAACAGCAGCCGCGGTGATGAGCAATGCATCGCCCGGATGTGAGCGGAAGGTGTCTTCCTTGCGCCCGTAACACTCGCAAAGCAGCCAAGAACAGGCCAAGCCCAGAGATATGGGCAACGAGGATAGCACAGGCGCCTCAGCGCAGAACAGGGCGCATCTACTTTATGCACGGCTGCTTGCCCGAGACGCTTGCCTACACAGTGCGGTCCAGCTTGCTTGGGAGTCTCCGCTCATGACCGCGTTTAGAGCTGCTGCTACTGGAATGTCAGCACAGCGCAGCAGAGCCAAGATCACGCTTTGCCTCGCGGTCAGATGCGCAGGGCACACAGCGCTTGACAAAAGGTGGTCAGGTATGTCAGCTGAGTCAATTTTGTGGCCTGCTGCTCACACCAGAGGGAACGAAGACATCAAGGGCAGCAGCACAAGCTTCGAGAATGCCCAACACCGCGGCTGCAGCGATAGCTCTCCCAGTGACCGCGACGGAGGGGAACCAGGCCTAGGCTAGCCGAAGCCCGAACTAAGGATCATAATATTAAAGGACTGCACATGGATTAGACTCATTAGACAGCCTCAATTAAAATGTCCAGCCCCAGAGACGCCATCCACATGCCGATGCCAGAGGGCTCCCATCATGAGCACAGGCCATGCCATCCATGGAAATGTGACTGGAGGTATGGGCAAAGGTCCAATGGACAGAGTCCCTGTTGCGATGCATGCCTGACCCGCAACCAGCAAACAGTAAAGACAAACGACGAAATGCAGATAAATGCAGAACTTCCATTGCATCCCAAACCCGGCGCACCTGCAAAGCCCGCAGCGCCATGGCACAAGGGAACAACACGCAAGCAATTAAAGCAGTCGCAGGCGCTGGCCAAGGAAGCTGCTGCTCTTTCACGAAGAGTTTGGCACTCCTGTCAGCTTGGCGGCCCAGCGACTGCAAAGAACTGCAATGTCACACAATGCATATGTTTGTGAAAGGCCTCCTGCCCTTCTGCACCATGGCCAACGGAGATCACTGGGGGACAAACACCCCAAGTTAAGTTTAGCTAAAAGACTTTGAGCAAACAAATCTTGCAGAATGAGCGGCTCAAATCGCCAAGATGCAGCCTTGGGGCAAGTGCTAGGCCACCGGCCCCTCCGTCTTGCGCTTCATCCTCTTCCTCCAGCGCATCCCATAGCTCATCATCCGACGCCATGCAGGCTAACACTGGTAGGAGCTGTGTACTTGGTGTGCCTGGGTAGTGGGGTGTGCTAGCTGCTCACAATCTTCGATGATGTTGCAGGTTCTAGTCTTTCTTCGTTACATTGGTGGATACTGTGCTTCCGTCCAGTTTGTATGTGATTTTGTTCACAAGATTTCTTGCGTGCGAACTACACTGCATCAAGCGAATCACGTAAGATCCGGTGGCCTGCATGTAGTATCATAGAGATCATGGCTGACTGCCGCTCTAAGGATTTCAAGCTCAAAGCTGGGAGCATTCAGGTGCGAGAGACATGCAAACGCCGAGTGACCCGGAGACGGATGAGAATACAAATGGGTGATCCCAAACTCGAGCCCTGAACACTCTTTCGGTCGCACTTCTTGAATAGGTCAAGATACTATCGAACACCTCGGAACTGAAACTGAATGTAAACTAACAAACATGTACTTGTACCGTGCTTACATGACGGGGGATGCTGCAACACGATGTACATGAAGATCCAAACGCACAGCCGACAGTTTGATTGAACAGCGCTGAGCAAGCCTAATTCATCCTGAAGGTGGCAGAAACTGAGGCTTCAGGTGGCCGGAGGCAGATGTTTCGAATTACATTGGCGCAGCATACTGTAATAGCATGTGAAGTGCGCTTTTGCCGTTTTCCTCCATTCGAATCCTTGAACCCTTGGTCGTTCATTTCTGGACCTGCCCTTGCATCCCGCCGCCGATTGTGTTGTTAAATGCCTTCCAATGCATCATGCTTGAATCTGGTGTCCTCTCCTCCAAGATTTCCCGTGCTGGTTTTTCCGTCCTATCTGCTACCCTTTAGGTCCCGAGTAGTGAGGCATAATCGATGCACCCATGACAAAACTCCCTTCCAGCTGCAGACCGCGACATCTCAGGTGGACTGTACTGCAACATCGGGTACGACGCTCTGTTTTCCTTCAGAGCATCGCAAGTATCTCGCGAGCTCTACATGGAAAAAATCTTGACTTCATCGGCTGCTTGGACGGCCGGCCAATCACGCAGACCTCGACCTTAACTTAAAGCTTGTGGAATAGCGAAGCATCACTCATGCGCTGCATTCTTTGCATAACCATTTAGATGCACGTATGAATGCATTTTGCACAACCACGAATGATCTCAAAGTTTTGGCATTCCTACTGCAGGAAATACTCAGCCAGTTTCCATGCTAAAGTTCATGCTCCGAGCCCAAGTGTTTGCCATGTCCGTACTGGCAGCTCAGCAGGCACGCTATTGGCCTCCCCCGTTCAATATCGTGTCCATGCGCATGCGCGGATGCGACATGGTTTGGACGAGAAACTTATATTCGTTCCGCAGGGTCAGTACAAGCTTTGTAGCAATGACATATGTACTCACAAACACACACATACACACCTCTACCTCTACTGAATACTTCATGCAAGATTCTCCACCATTGGCAAATATGTGCGCTGCTCCTCACGAGCACATCCAGCTGTTTGTGGGGGTTTTCAACGCATGCCCCTTCCGCCACACCCGGTGGAGCAAGTGGGAGGCACACCTGTCATTTGTGACGCCCTACTTCTGTCGTCTGTGACGCCCTATGTTCCTTGGTCTCGGCTGGCTAAATCCTTGTCATTTGACACTCCATCTGCCTGGCATCACCACACATCAGCTGACCCGAAAAAGCTCCCAGGCATTGGCAAGCGTGTGGTTTCCTGTCGAAGCAGTACCTGTGATCTGTGACTCCCGACCGTTTTTCCTTGCGAATGCTCTTTTCACACAACAACAACAACAACAGTCATCTGTCACATCTGTGACTCCCTACTTCTTCTTCTTCTTTGGGACAGCTTCATTCCTGCTGGATTCGCTCCTTGGGGTCTTCGTCTTCGGTAAATGGCTCCTGCTGGATTCACTCCTCAGGGTCTTCGTCTTCGGTAACAGGTTCCTGCTGGATTCACTCCTTAGGGTTTTCGTCTTCGTTAAAAGGCTCTTGCTGCATTTCGTAGGGTTTTTCGTCTTCGGTAAAAGGTTCCTTCTGGATTCAGTCCGGAGGGCTGTCGTGTTGGGCAAAAAAAGTTCGTGCTGGAATTACTCCTTAGGGTTTTCCTCTTCGGTAAAACGTTCCTGCCAGATTCACTCCTTCGGGGGTTCGCCTTCGGCAAAAGGCTTCTGGGTTTCATTATATGTTTTAGTATATGATATTGGGTCACATTCTGTTATATCATATTATCTTACCATGTACTATAATATTATTTTAGATTAGATGAAATGGGATGAAATTGGATTAGGCGATGTTATATTCAAATACTGCGTTATAATATATTTTACATTATTTTATTCGGGACTATATTGAGTTATGTTATGTTGTCATAATTACATTTTATTATATTGTCTGGTATGGTTGCATTAAATGATACGGTGTTTAATTGTTGACATTGTCTTTCATTGTTTTATATTCTGCGATATACATGTGTTATATACACGTGCTACATTAAGCTGAGCATGTCATATATGCCTAGTCAGACGACCCCACCAGCACGAACGCGGGAAGCGAGCATGTTGTTGTGCGAATGTGCGAAAAATACACCCCGCCTAGGGAAAAACACGACTTTGAAGAAAAATTGCACCGCACCTAGAAAAAATGCATTTTCATGCGAAAAAACACACCGCGCCCAGGGAAAAGCAAGATTTCTTAAAAACGAGTGAGCACCGCGCCTACGAAATAGTGCAGTTTCGGGCAACCTGATTACAGTCATTTGTGACGGCCGACTTTCCGCTTGAAAAATCAAAACAATCGGGCACATGTGCCGGCAACCACGCAAGGGTCTCCATTTTCAGCCCTTCAACCACCTGTCATTGTGCCTCCCTGGTCGGCTTTAGGACAACACCCTTCGTCAAGAGAAACGTTGAACAACGTTACAAACCCCAGGGCGTCACAAATGACTGGTGTGCCCAAGTGGGATGCTTATGCTTTGGGGTTCAAGGTGAGGGGGTATCATTCGAGGGAGAACTGAGCACGCGGACAAATACAAAACGTACAAAATTGAAATGAGCTACCGGGCTATGTGGAGCACATTCAGTGCGCCGGAAAAATAACAACGACGCACTGCATGCACCACATGTCGCATTTTATCGGGAATTGCTGCAGGAAGCTTGTACACACTGGGTATTCAGCATCCGCTTTCGGCAATTTCTACCAAGTACAGGTGAGTCGTGGAGGCATCAAGGCTGGCGATTATGATAAGTTAGTCGAGCAATCTCAGTGCACAACTTAAAATAACTATGGCATCAAGCTGTTTGCCAGAAGAAGGATCTTGAAAAATGATTCAGCAGGGCTTGTGCCGAGTACAGAGCCCAGAGCTCGTACAATGGGATCAAAATCAGGGTCATGATGCAGAGCCAGTGCAGGTATGTCCGCGGGATCAAACGAGTGTTGCTCATGCTAGGTCTGGCTATCATCTTTCTTTCTCCAGGCTTGAAGGCGTACCCTCGCAGGGGACACCTTTCGGTTGGAGGTAAGCTAGGCTATCATCTCCCGTCTGTCTTTCTTTCTTTCGTTCTTTCTTTTGTCCTTTCGTGCGTCCTTTCTTTCTTTCTCTAGTCTCTCTTGAATCCGGCGGTCGCTCGAGTCAGGGCAAGGCAAGCCAGGTCAGGCATGTCCCAAACACAGCCGGTTGCCATTCCAACCTGCGCAGGAGGCTCGTACAGCAGCGTGAAAGCGGCCTAAGGCGGGTCATGTCCTTAGTCTATGCGTTGCCTTCTTGGCCTCCTGTTTGAGCCGATCCTCCAACACTGGCAGCGGACCTGGGACGACTCTGGGAGCATGATGTGCACTTGTGAGGACTGGATCAGCTGGGAACAGCTCAGACGTAAATGAGATATGATATGATAGAACGACAACAATAACAGTGTCAGACAGCCACACGGGCCAGCATCAGCAGCATCACTGAGACTCGGGTTCTTTCAGCTGAACCCTGCCACCAACCCTCCGACAAGGAGCGAAGCTCTGCTCGATGCAGACATATCTGAAACCCAGGCATGTCAAAATTAGGCTTCACTTCGATGTCGTGCGCCATCTTGGGGATACCGTCGTTTCCGATTCTGAGGATTGCGCGTTCTAGATGCCTGCCGCCCACGCGAGTGTGGCCCAGCCCAGACAAGCACGCAACCGCGAAAACATGCGTTGCCTCATCTCCCACAACTGAGAACAAAGTGAATGGTTCCGCATACGCAATGCGCATTTCGATTCACGCGCCGTGCGCCGACGGAGCCGTCGGCCGCTGCTCCGCTCTTTGGGCCATGGCTGTGCGCTCCGCGAGAGGTGCTTCGATTTGCCCCCGCCCGTGCTTCCGCGAAAACGAGGATCGAAGTTCAGTTGGGTGTTGCCAGCCTACTGTAGCAAGCAAAAGTCGTTTTGTCATGGTTGAGTTAACTGCAGCAACATGGCAACTACAAACGTGCGAGCTCATCCATCTCAGAAGTGGGCCGTCGGCCAGTTCTGGCCTGGGCGAGTTTGATCCCCGGTCTCAACAGTTGTTGGCCAAGCTACTGGGCCCATTCTTGGAGTCGCACGGAGCACCGCAAATATGCACTGCAATACCTACACCGCGAAGGAGCAAATTCTGCGAACCTGGACACAGTAACAAGATTCAGCTGAGCTGCGGTTCCCTGTACCTTCAACCTGAGCGCACGCAAGACCAAGAGTTCCTGGTTGCCATAGCTACTGCGATATGGATGGTACTCATCGCAACCCCATGAAGAATGCGAAGTCAAATGCCTTACACATTTTAACGCGATATTTTTGTTATCTGTTGGCTTTATTTTGTCAGTTGTGTTGGTTTGGTTTGCTTTTCGGAACATTACCTGATGGTCCTGGATCTAATCGCTTCCTGCGCTTTTTTTTGTTGTGCTTTGGGTTTGTTGTTAGTTGCCTTTCTGGCTCTATGGGCTTCCTGAGACCCTTTTCGGGCCCGTGCTGTGAAGAACATGACAGATTGAAAGATTTAATAACACTGTGATAGGATCCTGATGGATTTCCAATCGGTTTTGATGTAGTTGAAGGGTTCTTGGCAATTTTGCATAGGATCGTGCTGGCATGTTATGGTTACAATATACAGGTTTCTGCATTTTTGCTTGCGGCGAATGTAATTCATAGTTATGCTACAAGGCTATTATTACCAAGAGTAGTCATACTGATAACACTTGCAATATTTGTCTGTACTGCTCTAGTAGTAATACGTGTGATCATTATGATACTAGCAAATCAGAATTGAAAGGGTTCGTATGGATTATGTTTCGTTGGTACCATGTTTCTTAAATCAAGCTTGCGGCTTAAACAAGCGGGTGGGTTTGTCAGGAGAAGGCTTGTAGGGTTGGTTTGGCAGGAGAAGGCTTGTAGGGTTGTGAAAGGGTTCGGATCGAACAAGGGTGGGTTGGGGGGGCCGGGGGGGGCAACAGAATGCCGGTATGATGGGCTTTTGAAACGCTCCATGAGACTTATAGTGACTTCCTGTATGATGGTTTCTGACGATTCATAGGGGTTCTTTTCTTGATATGCTCCTTCTCACCGTCGACCTGAATTGGAGCATCTCTGAGCTCCTCGACTTGCAACCATTCAGCTCCAGCCTCCCTTCAAAACGGAGCAGGTTTTTGCGGCTTGATAAGCGCAGCTCTGCTTCTCGTGCTCCTCAGCCTTGGACTACTGTAATGACTTACTTGGTGCAGCTTCCAGGGAGGGCTCCACTGCGGCCCGAAGAAGGTTGCGGTCACTCCGAAGCCCAGGGTGTCCGCACATCCATTGCAGAGAAACGTAAGGATCCGTGTCGCCTCTGCTGTTTCTTGGCCCTCATAATCCCAGATGAAGAGGCGAATGGTAAAAAAATGGAACAACCAAACGCGCAGATGATCCAACCGAACGGACCGATTGCTCTTGCGCAACCAAAACAACCGATTTTACAACCAAGATGGGAAATATGCTCCACCAAGAAGGGCCGATTACATAATCAAGACAGTGGATGAGCCAACCAACCAACCAACCAACAAGCTTGGCGCGAACGAACGTGTTAGCCAAAAATTCAACGGCGGTGCAGTAGCGCCTTTTTGGTCGAAGCGCAATCGTGCGCCCGGCCAGGCGCACCGCCCCCAAAATTCGGTGCCGGGGCCGGGGTGCGCACTTCTGTGCCCCACCGGACCCCACCCGAATGGGCGGGCGATCAGACGGAGTCGATTTAAAGACTTCAGGGCGAGGCGGGTGGGAGATCAGAAATCGTCGAGCCGGCGAGTGCTTCGCGGCTTGACGCTTAAGCTTGTCCCTACACACACACA